TTCAACACCATTTAAACAAAGATCAAATCAGGTCACAATCCTTAAAACGTGAACAATATGATCGTAGAACGAACAGAAGATTAACACGTCTTTTAAGACAAGGGAAAGAATAAGTTTCTCTTCCGTCTAAAAACGCAAAATTAAAATGGTCTTGGAGTTCTTGTCCAATCCTGTGTCTGGTTTAACAACCCACCATGACTATTACATTCCTACTAAAATTCTGTTTAAACGCTCTACTTAAATCTGTCAATCAATCTGTAAAACCTCCACCAATTTCACTTTAAAAAAAAAACAAGTACAATCCATCTAATTTCTTCAAAACAGATGAGATTTTAATTTGGGGTTTCTTTTTGCAAAATTGTCAGGCATATATATTACTAAAGGGTTTGAGGTTCCTTACTCCAGGCTGTCAATTTTGTTACTGGTCAAGCATTTTAGAGTCAGTACAGTACCATAAAACATATAAAACTTAGCGGAAACATTCTCTGTGGTTCTGAATTTGTACACCCCCCCCCCCAAATTCTTCTCCCACATACAGATGGATCTCAACTTACAATAGTTCATTTAGTGACCGTTCAAAGTTACAGCGGCGCTGAAAAAAGTGTCTTATGACCATTTGTCACACTTACAACCTTTGTAGCATCCCCCATGATCAGGTGATCAAAATTCAGATGCTTGGAAACTGACTTGTACTTATGACTGTTGTGATCCCCTTTTGCAAACTTCTGACAAGCAAAGTCAATAGGGGAAGCCAGCTTCACTTAACTACCCGGTTACTACCTTATTAATTGCAGGGATTCACTTCACAACGGTGGCAAGAAAGGTCGTAAAATAGGGCAAAACTCACTTAACAAAGGTCTCACTTAACAACAGAAATTTTGGGCACAGTTCTGTGGTCATAAATGGAGGACTATGTGACTTGTTGGTTGAGCTATTCCAACTGGCCGGAGAGGAAAATTAATAGAAATAGATAGTATAAGTCAGGGGTCTTCAAACTTGGCCCTTTTATGACTTGTGGACTTCAACTCCCAGAATTCCTCAGCCAGGCATGCTGGCTGAGGAATTCTGGGAGTTGAAGTCCACAAGTCATAAAAGGGCCAAGTTTGAAGACCCCTGGTATAAGTAATCTCTGACTTATGAGCACAACTGGAATCAGAAAGCAGGATGGTCATTAAATGAATTGTGCTCGATTTTATGATTTTTTCTGCCATGGTTTTTAAGCGAATCATGGCAGTTGTTAAGTGAATCACGCGGCCATTAAGCAAATCTAGCTCCCTCCCCATTGAGTTTGCTTGTCAGAAGGCCGCAAATGGTAATCACATGACCCTGGGACGCTGCAACCGTCATAAATATGAGTCAGTTTCCAAGTGTCTGAATTCTGATCATGTGACCATGGGGATGCTGCAACAGTCGTAAGTGCGAGGACCTGTTGTAAATCACTTTTTTCAGTGCTGTCGTAACTTTAAATGGTCAGTAAACTATCTGAGGCAGGGGTGTTCAAACTTGGCCCTTTGATGACTTGTGGACTTCAACTCCCAGAATTCCTCAGCCAGGCATGCCTGGCTGAGGAATTCTGGGAGTTGAAGTCCACAAGTCCTAAAAGGGCCAAGTTTGAACACCCCTGATCTGAGGTATAACAAAGTCCTTTCCCAGATTAACAATCAGTTGCCCCAATAGTCAGTTGTCCTTTTAATTGATATAATTCCACTATTTTGCCGCTTGTCTGCAAGGGATAGTGGAAAGAGACAAGATGGCGGCTGCAACTGTCCGATCAAAACCTGAGGTAAAAATTGAATGAGGCCATTGCAGCCGCCATCTTGACTCTTTTGACCACTCGTGCCTCTACCCCGTTAAATCTCTTCTGGTTAATAACAGCTTGGTTTAAATGACCAGCAGCTGCTTTTTTTCCTCCTTTCCAACAGTACATTTTTAAAAACCAAAGACCCCTAAAAGTAAGACAAAACAACAAACAACGATTAGAGAATCAGTGTTAAAAAATCACGAATCCCGGTCAGCGCTTAAGGGTTCATGTGGAACAAAGTAGCTCTGTGAACAAGGGACCTCTTCATATCCGGTGAGAAAAGATTTCAGGAAGGAGAAGCGAGTTCAAATTCATCCACAGCCAAGCAAATTCTTAGAGGTCAGATCAGCCCCTCCAAATCCAGCCTACCTCACAGGGTGGTTGTTATGGGGGGGGGGAATCAGATAAATGAGAATCAGGGACGCTCTTGGAAGGAAGAATAGGATATAAATTGGGTGAGTAATTAAATGAAAAATAAATATTGCAAAGCAGGGCACTGTATTCGGTTCCCGACGTTGCAGTCACTGCAATAAAAGAGATTCCTTCATGCTGGCTGTGTTCACAACCCAGGTTTAAATGGTTAAAAAACTTAACCAGGTCTCTGAAGCAATGTTAACCTCAGATTATGTGCCTCCTATGTCCGAAAATCCAGACCAGTGCGTGCAAACGACACTAAACCCAATGCTGCCTGCATTCACACAACACCTCAAACCCAGGTTAACTAAACAAAACGAATTTCGTCCACAGGCTACCTTGTACTAGTCTTCTGGGGCAGGTCAGGAAAAAGCCCATCTTCAAATGAACTCGGCTTCGCCTGCACGGCTTTCAGTTTTTCACCAGGTCTGGTTTGAAAGCGTTGTGTGAACCCAGCCTGCAAGTTGGGGCAGGAGATACGGAAACGGGACGCCTAAGGAGGGTCTTTTATGGCTGGGAAAGGTTGAAATGAGAGTTTCCAGCACATCAGAGTTGCCGGAAAGAAGAGAAAAAAAATCTCCTTGCAGGGTCTTTAATAAACTGTTCTTTGGAAAAGGGGAGTTTTAATGGCACTTCATTAAGCACTGTTGATTTGCAACTTTTCTGCAAGAGTCGCTGTTGTGCAAGGTGAACAGGAAGAACAGGTGCAAAGGTGAATTACCTGGTTCTACCTGTCCTGCTTATAAAGCACGTAAATGGCCGATCTTGGGCGTTTTCACCCTGATTGTAGCTGGCAGTTTGCAAGTGCAAGTAGTCCCCGACTTACGACCACAATTATAATAATAATAATAATAATCTATATAAATAAAAATGTAAATGTCCGTTTGTTCAAAATCTTAAATCTCCGAAAGTTCTTCACCGATTGCTTTGAAATTTTGACACAACGTTGCATTCGAATACGCGCGTGTTTTTATATAACTACTATTATATAGATGTCACACCTGTGACAGGTAAAAACATTTTTTAAAAAAAAAAACCAGCGCCATCTGTTGGACGTAAAAGCAACACACGCTACGATTTTACGATTCCATTTCAATGTTTCCGATTTACAATCCATTTACGATTTCCAAATATCCAATTCTTTCTTTTCCATTTTTAACCAGACTGAGCCACAGCAACGTGTGGCCGGGTACAGCTAGTAATAATAATAAAGTTGGAAGGGACCTTGGAGGTCATCTAGTTCAACCCCCTGCTCAGGTAGGAAACCCTATTCCATTTCAGACAAATGGCTTTCCAGTCTCTTCTTTAAAACCTCCAGTGTTGGAGCGCTGAACCCAAAACCTTTGTTGCTAAGCAAGACAGTTGTTAAATGATCTTTGCCCTATTTTAGGACCTTTACGGCCACGGTCATTAAGGGAATTGCTGCAGTTGTTCAGTTAGTAACATGGTTGTTAAGTGAATCTGGCTTTTCCCCCATTGATTTTGCTTCTCAGATGGACGCAAAAGGGGATCACGCGACGGCATCTGAATGTTGATCACGTGACCGCGGGGATGCTGCAACGGTCGTTAAGTGTGGAAAAAAGTACCAAGTCGCCTTTTTCAGTGCCATTTTAACTTTGAATGGTCACTAAATGGATGGTTGTAAATCGAGGACTCCCAGTACTGGACAAACTTTCCTGAATCAAAACTTTCCAGTGGAGTAAATATTGATGCGAAGGGAGGTTTAGATCTTAAAACTTTAATCAAGGTTTTCTCAAACTTGGTAACTTTAGAGTAGGTAGACTTCAACTCCCAGAATTCCCCAGCCTGTATGTTGCCTGGGGAATTCTGGGAGTTGAAGTCCACACCTCTTAATGCATGCTGCCTGAGGAATTCTGGGAGTTGAAGTCCACACCTCTTAATGCATTCTGTCTGGGGAATTCTGGGAGCTGAAGTCCACCCATCTTAAAGTTGCCAAGTTTGAAAAAACTGCTTCTATTTTCCTTTCTTACAGCTGCTTGGAAGCGGAAATGTTGCAGCCCAGGAAAAAAATAATGTCATTAGTTAAAAATCTTAATTTTATGGACCCATCGAAGGGAAAAGTGTATCCGTTAAAGCCAAATATCCACTAAATCAGAAGGTAAATAATTAAGTAAATCTTTTTATCATTTGCATTGAGTTTTTCTAATTCATATTCAGATTTTATAGAAAATATATGAATGTTGTCCAAGTGGATTTTCTCCTTTGCATTCAAAATCTGCTGTATGGAAATCCATAAAATTGAAGGTTTAATGAATATCATGTGTTATTTGTGCAATGCTTTATCAATTAGAGTCCAATATTAGAAATTCAGGTAACCTGTTAAAATCAAGTTAAGAGAAGTCATTGACGATGCTCAGATCACAGATTACAATGCAACAAATAATTCACATTGCCTGAAACATCACACTTATACACGTTATCGACCCCAGAGCTAACCAGAATAATAGAATAACACAATTGGAAAGGACCTTGGAGGTCATGTAGTCCAACCCCCTGCTCAGACAGGAAACCCTATAAAATTTCAGACAAATGGCTGTCCAGTCTCTTCTTAAAGACTTCCAGCATTCACAGCTTCTGGTGGCAAGCTGTTCCACTGGTTAATTGTCCTCACTGTCAGGAAATTTCTCCTTAATTCCAGGTTGTTTCTCTCCTTGATTAGTTTCCATCCGTTGTTTCTTGTCCTGCCTTCAGGCACTTTGGAGAATAGGTTGACCCCCCCCTTCTTTGGGGCAGCCCCTCAGATATTGGAAGACTGCTTTCATGTCACCCCTAGATTAACCTGGTGTAGTAATCTGGTTAATTGAAGACGACACCTTTAGCCACCAAAAACTCAATCAAGGTTAATGCTAACCAAATTTAGCAAGTTATATGTATCAGTACAAACTGTTATTTTTATTCTTCCAAAGAGTCTCAGAGGGACATTAATAAAGGGAAATTGTCCATAATTGCAAACACAGTGAATATTACAATATTTAGGAACAAACAAGTGATAAGACCTCGGCGTCAGCTGTTACTGGCCCACCTTGGTCACATTTTGACCCTGTTTCTGTGTTGTGTGAACCCAGCCGATGTCTGATTTACATTAATTTTTTTCCCCAAGACATAATCTCTTCTAGTTATAGCCACAACTAATCTTCCGTGATACAAGATTCACCTTGGAAATTTAGATAAGTGCTCAAGAGCATTCTGCTCCTGTCTCTCTCTCCCTGTCTCTCTCTCTCTCAAAAAAAGTTATTTAAATAGTGATTTTTTTCCCCACACGTCCTGTTGTACCATTTGTACCAACTTTGGTGGAAGACACCTTTGCAGAATTTTAGCAGCTCTTTCCTCCGTCATCGGCATCTTCCCATCAGAAAATATTTGCAGAAAACGTTAGGAACGAGGACTGGCTACGATACCGTGTTTTTGACTTTCATGGCTACGTTGTCTCTGCCCCGAAAGTGGCAATGGGGGATGGTGCTCGTCGCCGACTGGCTACCGTTTTTCGCCGTGTTCTGGGGGCAAGCAAATTTGACAAACTTCTGCCCGGCCAAAAAGTACAGGATGGGGTCCAGACAACTGTTGGTGCTGGCCAAAGGGCGGGTGAGCTTGTAGGCCAGGTTGATGGCATTGAGCGTGGGACAACTGAGGTCCCAGCTGCGGAAGGAGTAATACAACGTACGGGTGACGTGGAAGGGCAGGAAACAAATGATAAAGACCACCATGACAATGATGATCATCTTGACTGACTTCTTCTTGGAACTGGACATCCGGCTGATGCCCCGCGTGGGCTGGAGAAGTTTCCGGGCCATCATGCAGTAGCAGATGATGAGAAGGAGGAAAGGGATGCAGAAGAGAAGGACCAGCATAACCGAACTGTAGATGAAGAACTGGTCAAAGAGTTCCTTGGCGGACGTGTCGTGGCAGGTGATGCTGTTGCACCTCTGGCTGGTGGTGACAAAGAAGAGGACCGGAGACTGGCAGCCTATCACCACCAGCCAGACGATGGCGGAAACCCAACGGGCGTAGCGGACCTGGCCCCACTCCAGGGACCTCAGAGGGAAGCAGACGCCCATGAAACGGTGGGCGCTGATGCAAAGTAAGAAGAGGATGCTGCAGTACAGGTTGGTGTAGAAGAGGAAGCGGACAATCTTGCACAAGCCTACGCTGAACGGCCAGTCGTCCTCCATGGCGTAGTAGTAGACCAGCAAGGGCAAGGAGACCACGTACAGCAAGTCGGACACCGCCAAGTTGAACATGTAGGTGGTGGAGGTGTTCCAAGTCTTGATGCGGAAGACGAAGATGTAGAGGGCCAGCAGGTTGAGGGTGAGGCCCACCACGAAGACGATGCTATAGGACACGGGCAACAGGATGTATTTGAAGTCCTCGTTGAACTTGCACTTGTACGGGTGTTCCTCCTCGCCGCACTCGGCGTCCGAGGAGTTGGCGCTGGCGTTCACGGAGTACAACAGGAACGTGACATTCGCCATCGTCCTTAGAGAGTCCGGAAGAAAAGCAGAGGAAGCACAGTTAGCATGGGACGGTGCTAACGTCCTGTTGCATTCACAACATGCTGCATTCACACAGACTACTTACCTGGCTTTGGGTGGGCAACGGGCGTAAGTACGAGGACCAGTCCTAAGTCACTTTTTCCAGTGCCGTGATAACTTTACACAGATACAAAACATATAGGCAGTCCTCAACTTAAAACTCTTTTGTTTGGCGACCGTTCAAACTTAGAATGGTACTAAAAGAAAAGTGACTTAGGACCGGTTTTCACACTTACGGCCGTTGCCAGCTGCCCCATGGTCACGTGATTAAAGTTCAGACACTTGGCAACCGACTCCTACTTATGACGGTTGCAATGTCCTGGCGTCATGTGATTTCATTTTATGTCCTTCTGACCAGCAAAGTCACTGGGGATGCCAGTCTCGCTTAACAACCCTGTTACTAACTTAACAACTGCATTGATTCACGTTAACAACTGTGGAAAGAAAGGTCCTAAAAGGGGGAAATTGTTAATCCCACAGTCATTAAGCGAATCCGGTTTCCCTCTTTGACTTTTGCTGGTTGGGACGGTGGCAAATAACGTTCACATGACCAGCGGGAGGCTGCAATTGTCCTGAATACATGCTGGATGCCAAGCGCCTGAATTTTGATCACGTGACCATGGGGACGCTGCAACGGTCGTAAGCACGAGGACCAGTCATAAGTCACTTTCTCCAGGACTGTTATCACTTTATCCAGGCACAAAGCAAATGGTTGCAAGTCAAGCGCTGCCAGTATAAATTTGACAAATAAATAAATATTAGGAGCTTGCTTAATGCTCTTCCACATTAATTAAGGCAGGGGTCTTCAAACTTGGCCCTTTTATGACTTGTGAACTTCAACTCCCAGAATTCCTCAGCTAGGCACGCTGACTGAGGAATTCTGGGAGTTGAAGTCCACAAGCTGGCTGACTGGCTGGCCGAGGAATTCTGGGAGTTGAAGTCCACAAGTCCTAAAAGGGCCAAGTTTGAAGACCCCTGACATAATGTGAGGGGAAATAATGCTAACTCAGAAAGAGCTACGGTATGGATTTCAACTCCCAGAATCCCTCAGCCAGGCAAGCTGGCTGAGGAATTCTGGGAGTTGAAGTCCACAAGTCCTAAAAGGGCCAAGTTTGAAGACCCCTGACATAATGTGAGGGGAAATAATGCTAACTCAGAAAGAGCTAAACTGGTATTTCTCAACCTCGGCCATTTTAAGAGGTGTGGACTTCAACTCCCAGAATTCCTCAACCAGCGTGCCTGGCTGAGGAGTTCTGGGAGTTGAAGTCCACAAGTCCTAAAAGGGCCAAGTTTGAAGACTCCTGAATTAAGGTAATCCTCAACCGTTCAAAAATTACAGCGGCACTGAAAAAGGGGACTTATGACTGTTTTTCACACTTAACGACCGTCGTAGCATCCCCAGGGTCACGTGATTGAAATTCAGTTGGGAACAGGCTCATATTTACGATCAAAATTCGGACCCTTGGCCACTGACTCGTTTATACGACGTGGTCACAGTGTCCCGGGGTCACGTGATCCCCTTTTGCGACCTCTGACAAGCAAAGTCAGATTCATTTAACAACCGTGTGACCGACTTAACAACTGCAGTTATTCCCTTAACAACTGTGTGTAGAGAAAGGTCGTAAAATGGGGCAAAGTTCACTTAACAACTGTCTCATTTAGCCACAGAAATTCTGTGCTCACTTGTCGTAAATTGAGGACGGAAATTTATTTAAGAGGATACGCCCACTGGAAATATACCGGTTGTTTCTTTCTATCCAAATTACTTTTCTCTTTTTTTTTTGCAGAAGGAACTCGCTGTTGTTCTAAATCAGGATTTTTCAAAGTTGGGCCCTTTATGACAGGTGGACTTCGTCTCCCAGAATTCCCTTTGCTGGCTGTGGAATTCTGGGAGTGGAAGTCCACCTCTTTGAAAGTCCGCCAACTTTGAAAACCATTCCTGGGAATAAAGGTGCACCTGGTTAACATTCTCCAGCTTCTCTTGGATGCTTCGTCAGCAACAAGGAAGTTTGCAGGGAGAGGTCAAAAAAGTCAAGATGGCGGCTGCAACGGGTGGGAACAAAGCTCTGTTTGTTTTTTGTGTGCATCCCACGCAAAAACAGGCACGGCTCTGATGGTACCAACCAGGGATATTCCCTGACACTTCCCAGTATAGATAAAAACAACCTATTAGTAATGTCAATATTGTGGTGGTGGTGGTGATAGTTTTATTATTCAACCTTCATATTTATCTTGGGATTCATTTCCGTGATTCAAAAGGCTTGCAAAACTACACAAAAACCTATTGAATTATCGTCCCACAGTTGCTTTTGTGATTGTGGTTGTTTTATGTGCAAGGCAGGCCAACTTTACAAGGTGGTCCTCGACTTTTGTGTAAGTTCATTTAGAGTTGTGTAAGTTCATTTAGAGTTTGTGTAAGTTCATTTAGAGTTCATTTAGTGACCGTTCAAAATTAAAACGGCACTGAAAAAAGGGACTGATGACCGTTTTTCACCCTTACAACCGTTGTAGCATCCCCGTGGTCAAAATTCAGACGTTTGGCAATTGACTCGTATTTACGACGGTCGCAGTGTTCCGGGGTCACTTAACGACTGCGTGACTAAGTTAACAACTGCAGAGATTCACTTAACAACTGTGGCAAGGAAGGTTGTAGAACGGGGTAAAGTTCACTTAACGAATGTCTCACTTAACAATGTAAATTTGGGGCTCAACTACAGTCGTAAATCGAGGACCGCCTGTATTTTGCTAGAGAACTTGCATTGGGCTCTCTGGAGCCTTTTTGCTTTCTGAAAGTCAGCAAGATCACAGCAAAACCCAAAATATGTTTAGCTTCTTTTTTTTTTGACCGCAGAAACTTCTGGGTTGAGGAGTGTGTGTGTGTGTGTGTGTGTGTGTGTGTGTGTGTGTGTGTAAACCTCGCTGCCTTTGCACCACACACCGATGGTCACGGCGACAACATGACAAAGTCTCTTGGGGCCTCCGAGCAAGTTGCACAACTCACATTCCTTCAGTGTGTGTCATCCTGCCGTGAAATGCCTCTTTCCGGGGTCTTGCGTTTTAATTATTAACTCCCAAAAGGTACTTGCCAGCTGTTTGCAACCTGTGAGAAGATGCTAGAGGAGAGAGAAGAAAGGGATAATCCTTTGCACGCACCCTCATTCCTGGAAGCAACAGCCGAGCGGGAAAGGCAAGCAGGAGTAAACTATTTTTCAGTTCCGTTCCATTCAATCAGAATAGAGCTGGGAGGCACCTTGGAGGTCTTCTAGTCCAACCCCCTGCTCATGCAGGAGAACCTAAACCTTTCCAGAAACTGGCTATCCAGTCTCTTCTTTAAAACTTCCAGTGACGAAGCACCCGCAAATTCTGAAGACAAGTCCTTCCACTAGTTACTAGTCCTCATTGTTGGGAAGTTTCTCCTTAATTCCAGGTTGCTTCTCTTCTTGATCAGTTTCCAACCGTTGTTTCTCATCCTTCCCTCTGGTGCGTTGGACAATAATGTGACCCCCTCTTCTTTATGGCAGCCCCTCAAATTTTGGAATACTGTTACCGTGTATCCTTCTTTTCTCTAGACTAGCCATACCCAGTTCTCCATATATTTTAATCTCCAGGCCTTTAATCATTTTAGTTGCTCTTCTCTGCACTTTTTCCAAAATCTCAACCTCTTTTTTGTAATGTAGTGACCAAAACTGGATGCTGTATTCCAGGGGTGGCCTTACTACGGCTTTATGAAGCATTGCTAATACTTCACCTGATTTTGATTCTACGCCTCTGTTTAATACAACTATTGTAGGCAGAATTACAGATAGCCCCTGACAACTGGGACCGGAGTTTCCATTGTTAAGCAAAGTGGTTGTTAAGTGAATCACACCTGATCCTAAACTTTTTGCCACAATCGTTAAGCAAATCGCTGCAGTTGTTAAGCGAATCACGCGGTCGTTAAGGTAATCCAGCTTCCCCCCTTGACTTTGCTTGTCAGAAGCCAGTTAGGAAGGTCAAAAATGGGGATCCCAGGACAGTGCAACCGTCACAAATACATGCCAGTGCCCAAATTCTGATCCCGTGACTAGGGGGATGCTGCGACAGTCGTAAGGACGAGCACCAGTCATTAGTTCCTTTTTTCAGCGCCATTATGACTTTGAAAGATTATTAAACACCAGTGGTGGGATTCAGTCAGTTCGCACCACTTCGGCAGAATTGGTAGCTAATTCTTTTGTTGCCCAGGCCCAGAACGGACTTCCGGAGGCGGCATCCAAACAGAGAACCAGTGTTTCACCTATCTGAATCCCACCACTGTAGGTAGGTAGGTAGGTAGGTAGGTAGGTAGATAGATAGATAGAGATGACAGATAGGTGACAGATAGATGATAGACAGATGATAAATAGATAGATAGATAGATAGATAGATAGCATCCGGAGGCTTCAGCTGGTCCAGAATGCGGCCGCGCGGGCGGTGTTGGGAGGGACGCGTCGCTCCCATGTAACATCGCTGCTGCGCGAGCTGCACTGGTTACCAGTGGCCTTCCGGGTACGCTTTAAGGTGTTAGTTACCACCTTTAAAGCGCTCCATGGCATCGGACCTGGATATCTCCGAGACCGCCTTCTGCCACAGATTCCCTCTCACAGACCGGTACGCTCCCACAGAGCGGGCCTCCTCAGGGTGCCGTCGGCCAAGCAGTGTCGGCT